AGGGTGGAGTGGGGAATGGGATCAAAACCAGTGGGGGGAAGGAAATGCACTGGACTATAGTGATGGCAACATAGGCGATTTGGTGATAAGAAGCCCAAGGGGATTACAGCTGAGATGAAAAATGCACAAAATGATGTGAAAATGCATAAATGATGTAAAAATAAACTATTATATTATCAAAACAAATTTTTCCAATAGAAATAGCAATTGCGGCCCACCATGGTGGCACATGGGTTAGGAAGCAGCTCTGCAAGTACCCACAGCTGCTTCCATGGAGTTCTATCCCCGGCCCCTGAGGTGATCCACAGGGTGCAGCAGACCTCCCGTCTCCCTGCTGCTCCCCCTGCTGCTCCCCTCAGCAGTGTACTTCCTCCATCTGTCTGTTCTGCTCCCCACTGTCTCTGGTGAATCCTCTCACTGCCCCTGCACCTCTGGCTTGCACCCCACGTCTGCATGTCTTTAAAAAAAAAAAAACCCAGAAAAATAGCAATTGCGTCTTTGCTTTATATATTTAGGCTGAAAAAACAGTATCACAGAAAACTACCTTTGGATAGTGAAGGAAGTTCTTAACTTCTTATGCACAGCATAACTGTAACAAAAATGTAGCCGGCCTAAAAATGTAGCTGGCCTTCTTTCTAGGCTAAGCTTTATTCTAAAAAGTTTTACTGGAGAGCTTTATAAAGCAAAAACAAAGTTTCCACCTGTCCTACCTAGACATACCTATTGTCAGCCTCCTCCATCTCCTCTAGTAAGCAACACAAGACAACAGGTTCTTCCCAACACCGGCTCTTTGAAAAACCTTATGGTTCTTTCTAAGAGTTCAGATTTAAATCCTGTCCATGAGGCGGTCCCTAAGTTACTTGAAAATGGACAGTGATGGGAATGTGAAGCTTGCAACCTGTACCCCAGATGCTATAAAGTCTGTACCGCAACTTCTCACCCAGCACGGTTCTAGCAGCACTCCATCCCATAGCTGTTTTGAAAGAAAAAATACATAGGAAATCAATGTACCTTAAAGCTTAAAGGCCTCCACACGTGGCCCTCAGTAACCTACGGACATCCTCTCTAGAGCAGTCAGCAACAGAAACATGCTGGCACTCTTTCCGGGGGGCCTGCTCTCCATTTGCCGCCCAGCCACCCCTAGCTAGGACTCAGGGAATGCTCCTTAACAGAAAATGCCTTAACCACCTTCATCTTTAATCCCCGTAAAACTCTGGTTCTGCACATTAAAAACCTGTAAGAAAGCCAATTCCTAAGAGACAACGCATTTAACAAAGGTAATCAAGTGGACTGGGAGGGTGGACGCCTAACAGGGAGTCACTGTTTAATAACAGAAGTTTGCTCGGGATGAGCGAGGCGTGGATGTGGACAGTGGTAGCGGTTGCACCACACAACGATGCACATGCCACTGAATGGCACACGAACTGTGGCTCAAACTGGAAATGTATTGTCAGTTTTTAACAACGTGCGGGTAATCCTGCACCCAGGCTTCCTGCTCCCCCCCAATCCCTGCAGGTAAGCACAGAAAACGTGTCTGCATCTTCCTTGCAGGCGACTGTAAGAATGCGAGGGTTCCACGAGGGTCACAGGCCATGCTGGCGACGAAAGCCAAGGGCAGGCGGAGGGCTAGGAAGGGTGAGGGAGTCTGGAAGTGGGTGAGCCCGCCTTGCAGCGCACAATCTGGAACAAGAGGAGGGGTGTTTCTTTTTTCTTAAGCTCCCCCCTCCGTTGCTGAGGGTGATCACTAGGCAGCAGCTGTGCTCTCTCCACAAATACCTGCTGCGCACCTGGGGAGGTGGCGAAGGGCTGGGGCCCGGCC